AAAGTTGTCTGCAAACTTGTTAAAAATAAAGGAAAAAGTTTGAAAACACACTAACATAAACAAAATCAAGGAAAAAAAAAAGACATAAGAAATAGAAATAACACACATTTTGACATTAAGTTTCACTCTTATTGTAATCATAAAAACTACAGTTTTTGGTTTGGAGCATTTGTTTATTTGTTTGTTGGGTGGTGAGTTGGGGTTTGCAGGCCAGGGTTTTTTGATGTTCTTAACTCTAAGCAATACTCTAAGCAACTGAGCTAATTGTGGGTTGTTTTGGCTGATCTTTCCTTTCCAAAAAGTGCCAGCAACTCTTGAAATAAAGTCATGTGAGAAACACTGCCATACACAGAAGACTGAAGTTCCTTTCTCATTTATGCTTGTCTTCTGATGAAATTATTCAGTGTTCATAAGCTGTTTTCTCACAACTTATCAGCAGCATGGAAATGCTCCCTGTAAGATTTTATGTAACACTGCTTACACTTCTGCTTCTTTTGTGTCCTGCTCTGATGAAGCATTCAGGAACCTGTGTAGCATTAAGCACAAGTAGGTAATTTATTTCAGAAAATATACGTTTGTTCAGAACCTTGGTTACAAACCCCTTTTTTTCCTTTTTAGCTCTGGTTCTTTAGACAAATCAGATGTGACTTTGGTTAAGGTTTTTCTCACTAGCAGTTGCCACATGTGTGTCATATTGATGACCTGTAAGAATGATGAAAAATTGCATGGGAAATTTGTGGGTAAAGGAAACTAAGGAAAGTTCACATGTATTTCATGCCTCATTACCATAATCTCTACTTGTCTTCTACCATGTGTCCCTCTGGATCTGTGCCCACCTCCCTCTTCCTATTTGCATAATTTCATTCTTAATGATTTGCCACCATAGTCTCAAATTCATTAGGTGGCTTCCCTTCCCTGTCTGATTTGGCAGCCAATTTCATGTATTGATTTTATATATTCTTTTGGAAGATAAACACCTCTTAATACCTGCTCTACAGCAATGCTGTACTGGATGAAACCTATAGAAAACCTCTTAGCAACTTTATCTAATCAAAGCAAATAACAAATGGATCTCCAAGTACATCCTTGATGTTTACATGTGGGTTCATGTACATGCTTGCACACACAAACCTGTATTTAAGCTTTCTTAAATAAAATTGGTTTCATGATCTTTACTGTGGGGAGATGTTTCCAAGTATCTGACTCTTCAGACTCCTATGTTGTATCAATGTCTCATGTCAGGCTGATATTTTTTTCCTGCCCTTTCCACTAAAATCATTGAAATATATTCAGTCAGTCTTTCACATCAGAGGTGTAAATGGATTTCTTGAAAGTTTTTCTGCAGATAGCAAACGGCAGTCACTTTACAACTTTGACTCCATTGTGGGCAGCAGTTGGGAAGCCTAACACTCCACCCGAACTTTGAAGATGCTAAAACTGTTTAATGACCTTGCATTCTCAAGGGCAGATGCTCAGCTTTTGCTGGAAGTGCTAATCTACAATTTGTTTATCTCCATACACTATGTATTTGACAGCACTTGCCTGGAAAGTAAGGCAGGGAAAAGCATTGTCAGATTTAGTTCCATTTTCCTCTCTGATGGTCTCAGTGTCCAATGGACTTTGAATAGTCATCTTTATTTTAATTTTTATTTTCTTTTGTGCTTCTCAGCCAGTTGCAATCTTAGAAAGCAGCTGCAGGGCCAGTGTCAGACTATTTTCATTTTGTGAAGCCTCTGATGTAGAGTGAGCTGAGCTCTGGAGTACCTGTTTTCATCCACATTTTCTTTGTTCTTAGTGAATCAGACTTTGGGCTTTACCTTCAAAATGTAAATTGTCTCCTGTATTTTCTGTCAGTAGGCTTTCAATTCGAAGTGCTGTATTTATTATTCTTTAGTGGATATGAATTGAGATGCATCACATAATGCTCATGAGCACATTGAGGAGCATGTTCCTAATGAAGAGGTGATGTGTCAAAGCAAGGTGCTGTGTGCAGGGAAAGGTAATGCCTTTTCTTAGACACATGCACCATGGATGGGTAAGCCCTTCTTCATATGTGGAACAGGAACCTGAAGAGAAGGCTTCAGCTCATAAAAGCACATCAGTGTTTTCAGGTTAACCTATAGATGGGTTTTACATCCCCAAAGTCTGTTCTTTAGCAGTTCCATCAGTTGGTTTGGTAACAGAGGTTCCCTCCCTGAATAAACTGTGCTTTCCTTGCCCCTGTAAACCATCAGCCACCACTGCACTACTGACAAAAGAAAATAAAAACCTTTTGGTTTTAATGTAAACCTTGTGGTTTTCCAAACTGGCACTCCCAATCAACATAAAATATTAGCATCAAATTACTCTGATTCAGCAACAGCATCTATTTTTTAATATGAACTTTTCTGTTCTGTCAGGTAATTGTTTAGCTTCCCAGGGAATTGTGTTGCAAATGGAAAAGTTCAACCTTGTAAATTCTTTCTGTGGTGAGGCAACAGGAAACCCACTTCTGATTATTAAGATCACTGGGTTTAACAGCAAAATTTAGTAACAAATTGCTAAAATTGACCTTTTGAATGCTAGATTTGCAGTATGCTCATTCAGGAATCTCTTTATGATGTATAGGAGGATTCTCTTGCTCTCCACTTACAGAATTACAAGAAGTGTTACTGTCACAGAGGTGCAGTTTCCTTCTGTGGCACATGCTTTGAATTAGCAGTGGCTGTTGCCGTTTTGTTAATATCAGTAAGCTTCTAAAGTAATTAAGTAGCAAGTCACAGCTCCCATCCCAAGGAGGAAGGATACCATCTTGATTTATCAACAAGATAAAGAGAAAGGTTGGTTTGGGTGGTTTTTTACCTTTGCTTTTTTGTTGTTGTTGTTGTTGTTTTTGTTTGTTTGTGGGTTTTTGTTTTGTTTTAATTCTTTTTTTTTTTGTAACACAGAAAACCTCACTGAGGCATGAAGCACATAAGAACTAGCTAATGGTGCTGAATCAAGGAGTTTGTTCAGGTTCAGAGGAGAGCTGGCTGTGCTCTCAAGCTGGTCCTGTGCTCTCTTCTCCCTACACTCAGTGCTCAGTTGGAGTATGGGGTGCTTTCAGATCACCTCCTGCTCCATCTATGCTCCTCCTCACCTGTGCAAAAGCCTGAAGGTGGAACTCTGCTGCAGTGATGTTCTATCATCCCAAAATTAGAGGAGGCTAAGGGCACACTCAGGCACTTGGTAATGTCTGGTGGTATTAGAGGTGTGCAGTGTGGTTGTCAATGGGGAAAGGGAAGAAGGGCAAGGTCTGGCTCAGGTACTCGTAGCAGCCGTCCCTAAAAGCTGGAGTTTGGTGGCTCTGATGCAGTGGCTGTGTTGTCCCTGCATTACACAGATCTTGCAGTCAGTTCTTCCTTGTAGATTCTGATGTATGCGTCAGTTCAGCCCTTGATGCCTCCTCCCTTCCTCAACTTTTGTTTCTTTCTCTCCAGCTGCTGTACTTGAACACCTATATTTCTTTATATGTGTTATCTGCATTTTGGTCTAGACCTCCTGTAAATAGTGAGTGACGCCCTGAAGCAATTCTTACTGCTTCTACTTCTCTTTTCAGTCTTTTATGATCTATCTCAATTGTGACATTTGCAAAAAGATAAATTATTATGGATAGCTGGGCTGTGGGGCAGTCAGATATGGCATGTATTATTTATTTTGAAATATATTTTTAAATTCTGTAGAAGCCTCAAGTTACACAGCTTAACTGTTGCCTCCTTGATCCTTCCTGTTTGCTATAATTTGTGGCATTTATTTGTTGCATTTTGTTTTAGGAACACAATAGGAACTCTCTTTGGTAGATAGTCCATCTGGATCTGTGATTTTTTGTGGACCCAGAAAGCAAATATGAAGCTAGTTGTTTCAAGTTTTTCTTTATATTTTCTTCCAAGAGATTGAAGTAAAGCCATGTTACTCAAGGTTAAGTGAAAAGTAAGGGACAACTTGTTTTTTTTTGTTCAATTATTTTTCACTTGTAGCTATATAAAATATAAAATAAGCACCCTCTTAGATAAATGTGAGCATGTTTTGGACCTTTGTCCTTTAAAAATAATTTGTGAATAGCTGAGAAGCTAGCTATTTCTGTGACCTATCTGGATGAAGAATAGTCCTGGCCTAGAGAAGTTCAGAGCCACCTCTATGAATTAGCATGCATTAAATGATGGAATCATTTTATTGAGCAATAATAAAATATTGAAGTCAGATGGAAGGATGATGGGGAATTGCTGTTTGCAGCTATGAAAGTGATGCATGTCATGTTAACTCCCAACCCAAACAACTCACTCTAAGATTTGCTTTCATGAAACTTAAAATCCTCTATTTTGTCCAATCATCAGCTTTAAACCTGTTCCTTGTCAGTGAAGACAACAAATCTTTTTGCTTGCATCTGCCTGGGGGATCTGGAAAGCTGAGGTGGTCCTGTGTGATTAAATTAGATGAAAGACTTGCCTTCTACCAGTGAGACATGAAGTCTAATCAAGTGAAATGAGTTTTGAGATCTCAGCTCATTTCCTTGGGGAATATCTGCTTACATTACACAGTCACGACACCTAATTCATCACAGTTGATGCAGCTTCTGCTCAGAAGAGGACCTGGGACTGGGTGGCATGGGACTTGATCAAGTGTCTCCCTAAGGAGGAGCTGCTTAGTGAAGTTAAGATACAACACACCGAGGGGACAGCTTTAATATGACTTTTTTTAAAAGAAATGATCTATATTTCTGTGTATCAGAATATACATCTGTATATTTTAGAACAGAGGGACTTAGATGCAAAAAGGTAAAAAAAGGTATTTGGTACTGAGTTTATAAAATGATTGCTGCATAAATGTTAAAGAACATGCTCAGTGAAGAGCAAAGTTGAGCTTGTTACTTAATTTCTATGATGTTAAATGATGTTTGTGTATTTCCATGTACTATGGTAAGAAAGTAAAGATTTTTCTGCCTCCCTGACTAACAGTGTTTTGTTTTTTTTCTTCCAGGGCATTGTTATAACTCCACTTCTGCTTTTGCTTTTTGTAAGTATCATGATATAATATATTTTTTACTGGGTAATCTTACACCTATTAGCTGTTATGTTTAAGATGCAAGTTTGGATGGTTTTCATAATGCATAAATAATGAAGAAGATTTTTCTGGTCAATATTTGAAATTAGCTGCCTCCCAGGAAGGCCATCAAAATGCATCATAGTGTATGCAAACGCCACCTACACTTAATTCTAAAATGGCCAAAGGCTGTTCCTCTTACAGAAGTGTAAAATCAGATGCTGTTAGGCTGGTTAAAATACAAACACTTGCCAGGTAAGGAGAAAACTCAGGAGAGCTCTTGGAGAGCTTTCACTTGTAGGAGCTGGACAGGAATGCACTGATCTGAAGTGGACAAGAACAACTGGAAAAGCATGTCTCAGATAAACAGAGCCTTGCTTTTGGGCAGCTAAGCCCATGGGTATTTTTGTGGTAGAGACAAAACAGATTACTGGAGCATCACTAAATGTAATGCTGCTTCATTCCTGTTAGTTCAATTGTTACCCTTCAGTGAGGGCCTTGGATCCTTGCAGCTCGTGGTAGAGAGAAAGGGAGGAGACCAAGCTTTATCTTCATGTTTTATAAAGGCATGGATATTAGCATGCAATGGAGAGGCTTTTGCAGGTGTGTGGTGGTGTTTAGTAAATCCCTGGTCAGATAGGAAGTCTTGGTGCTTGAGGATTTGCTGGCATAACTGGTGTGGTGTGGTGCAAGCTGCTGAGGGCTGTGGCTTTGTGAAGAGCAGGGAATATAGGCTGGAGCACTTCAAGAATTTCAAGGAAGACATTAATTTTCTTTTATATTTGTCTTTTTGATGGCTTTGTATGTCTTGGCTTGGAAAGACAGGTGTCTGCTAAGGAAGGCAGGAGCCTCCCCTGAAATGGAAAAATGTAGACCCCCATCCCTCTGAATTGTTATAAATTTGAAATTAAGGGGGGCTCTCAGGCAAAATATGGGAGCAGGAATAACAGTTCTTTATTAGGGAAGAAAATAAAAAGATAAAATAAACAATGCAGTAAACCAAAACAACACTGACAGAGTCAGAATACAACCTGACACCCTATTGGACAGGGTGTTGGCAGCAGTCCAATTGAAATTGTGACTGCAGTCCTCCTGGAATGTCAGGTGTGGTTCTGTTGGAGGAGTGATCCTGTCGAAAAGGGTGTAGTCTTCCTTTGAAGATCCAGTGGAAGAGGCAGCTGTTCCTCTGGGAAATCCAGTAGAGAAGCCATGCTGGTGTTCCAGAAACTCAAGATTATATGCAAGTAGGAATACTTGGCTCCTCCTACTGCGTGGAGCATCTCACAATGGCATGCTGCAACTTTTATCAGTTATTCCGGTGACACTCAATAGGCCATTAACAGCAGATGTCACCTGGAGGGAGGATTGGTTGTGGAAGAGATAAGGAAAACTGCTCACTTAACAGAAGACAACTGCCATGCAGATGGCAAATGGAATACATCTTGCCTTGCAATCTGGGACAGTAAGTCAGCACACTGGGGAGTGAGGGGAAGTGAGAAGTTGGTCTGAAACAATTTGTAAGTGGCATGCAAGGGATGCGCTGTTTACAGCAGGGATGCTTAAGCAACATATGGGCTATATATGAATATAGCAGTATAAACTCGGATAAACAGTACTGGGAGAGTGGCTGTAACATCAACTACTGCCTCAGAATAACTGTGTGGGAAGAGTTTTATTTTACTAGAACAAATTGTAATTCACTGACGTAGCTATGTTTACACACAAACTGCTTTGACCATATTGTATCTATTGATACACACCAGCAAAGCTTTCTCAGTACCCCTGGGACTACAGACTTACTGTAGGTTGAAAAAGATAACTTTCATATAAAAAAAGACAGGTGTTTTGTTATTCTTGTACTGAATATGTTGATTCAGGATGATCTGCTTTGCTGTTTTCCAGTCCTCTTCTCTCCTGTATATAGAAGCTGTTTTTTCCACAGTCATTAATTTAGAAACCTGTGCCCTTGTTTCTAAGTGAAACTTCAGCTCTTTTTACTCTTGCTCACTGGCAGCTTTCCCCATGCTCTACCTCACTGAGTTTGGTGCACTGATTAGTCAAAATGGGTGTTTTCTGCAGAAACTGACTTGTTAAGGAAAGATTTGTGTGTCTTTTCAAGTAAGATAAAGTTCTTTTCTTTGGTGTCTTTATAGGCAGATAACAAGATATTCTGCCCCATAAATTGCCCTATAAATCCCTCTTCTCAGAAGAAGCGGTAAAACTTCATGTGTGCAAGAACAGGAAGGCAAATCATGACTGTTCTTCCTGCCAGCTCTGTAAAGATTTGTATGAGAAGTGTGTAAAATTCTCATTAATTGTTGGGTGGTTTGTAACATGACTTGGACTTGTTCTTCTTGAGGATGATACACACATGAATTGCTTTGTCATCAGAGTGATAAACTAGTCTGGGGACAAGGGGAGTTACAAGAACTGTGGGTTTTTGTCACAGAGCCCAAAACTTGAGGACTTCTCTTGTGCTATGTAAATATTTAAAACTTCTTGAGGTCTTTGTTGAGGGTTTCACAGATGAAGAGCAGTATTTTGGTTAGCCCAGCAGCACACCTTTCAGTTTATCCAATCATAGATATTTAGGACAGCTGAATGTGCAGAACCCGAGTTCCCAAGTCCTGTGATAGTCTCTGGTTTGGATTGCTGAATCCTTTTTTTTTCTTGTGAACCCCCTCTAGTTTTCCTCTGAGTTTCCTTGATGTATCTGGCCTGGTGAACACATAGTGGACTCAAGCACACAATTCACATGTTTCTGTATGCTTGCTTATAACCTGCAGCTTCATCATTTCATGTGGTACTGTGGAGTTACTGTGGAATGAGAAACAAGGACTAGAAGAGTCCTGGTTTTCTTCTCTGAACCATTCAGCAGTTTAGTCATGCAACTTAGCCTTAATGCTTAATTAATACAGGGTGGAATTTTCAAGTTTCAAAATAAAACTTCATTTTACCTCTACAATAACTGAGCTGAGCTGCTGAATGCTATTCATAGACCTTTCAAGTCAATGTCATCAATGAATTTTAATTCCTGAATCTGGTACTTGTGAGCATTAACTCTTCCACCGAGTTGTGCTATGATAGTCTGAATGCTCTTTTTCATTAATGTTCATATTTGTTGTTCTCCCCATGTACAATGCATAAAATACCTTTAGTGCTGCCAGAAATAAAATTCATTGTTGTCTATTAGCTTGTTTTTGTTATATAGCTTAACCGGAGGTAGCAGTTATTGTTTATATTTTGCCCTGTGTGCACCAGAAAATATAATGTTCTGAGCTGCCTTTTTGTTAATAATTGCCCAGTAATGTAAATATAAATTGTCTAAACAACATTGATAAAGGCATGTTGAAGCTATAATAAATAATGCGTTTAATACAAGTAATTTATCATCTTAAGTGAATGGTGTTGAAGAGGAAGTCAGTTACATTTCTGCAAAGTATATTTCTGCTATGAAACTTCTAGTGTAAAGCTTACTCAATATTAACATTCTAAGAGGTTCAGATTAATTTAATGAAGCCTTAAATACTGTGCCTGTAATTACTGCACTGTATGAGGATGCTTAGCTGAACTTTATAAAGAATATCTGACTTTGTCACAGATACCTCTGATTAATGTTTTGCCCAATAAGAAGCTATTGAATCTTTCTTCCCAGATATGTTAATCAGCAATATCATCCTCCTCATGTTAACCCTTGTTATTAACAGTTAATATGGCATATTCCCAGCAAAGATGTTACAAATGGCCAATGTCCCATAAATTATATATAACTGGAGCTCATATATGTGGTAAGCAGAAAGAAAGCAAGTTAAGTCAGTTTCATGTTAGCATGAGGTTATGCTGTTTGATATTTCTTTGCAGCATTCCGCAGTGCTTCATTAGCATTAGGAGGCTGTGTACCAAAGCATTCAGAGAGTGAGGCTGTCCATCTCCCTCTTGTCACTTTGCACACTTAGAGAGCAAGAGATCGATCACGACAATTTTTAAAGCAGAAAAATAAGTTTTGTTTTCTCCAATGTTAGTTATCACAGTAGCAGAAGTCTTAAGTGTGTGAATCTATGTACTTCTTTTGAAAGCCATCAGAAATATTAGTGATAAGTCAGTATTTTACATTTTTATGTACTTCATATTCTTCAGAAGCATGCCTGCAGAGCAGTTAATGTCAAATGTTAAAGACCCAATACCAAATTCATGTGAATTTTTAAAGATGCACTTGGCAAACCCTCTATGTGGCTGTCAGGCATTGCTCCCCCATTAGCTCTTTTGCCAATAAAAATACTATTTGTGTGAAAACAGAATCTTTCCAAGGCTTTATCAGCTTGCTCCTGTTATTGATTTCTGATGTTTTATTTTTATGTTGGTGTTGTAGTGGTGATGTCATAAGTACTAGAAAATTGCACTGCTGAAATAATTCATGAGTAGACAAGTGAAGGAAATTTGGTGCAAGTAGTGCAGAGAAAAGTGAAATAAATGAAGTGAGTGAAATTAGAAGTTGATTTAAATGCTGAAGAGCTTTCACTTGTATTCACAATCTTTAAATTAAAATATGGTTCCAAAAGTTGCTGATACTTCTCAGATTTTTTACCAAGTCTACTCCAATCCAATTAATTCAGATAAATTTGTTTATTGAAAGGACCTGTCAGTACTTTTTTGTTTTTTAAACAGAACTTCTACACACTATGCCTTGTTTTTCTTCTCAAGCACTTGGTAAATGAGAGTTGATACCAGTCAAATGAATTGTTAAATATGCAAATATCTTAGTAGCTGGAAAGCCTTGGAAGCTGATAAAGAAGTTGCAGCTAATGGATTTCACTGGTATGTGACAAAAGGCTGATTACAGTGGGGAGGGGAAGGGAGGGGGAACAGCAGAGTGTATTAGCTATTAACAAATCAACTCATTCATGTGGAAGATTTAAAGTGCATCATTATTTCTACCTGGTTATTTACCTCACTGTTTCCTTTCTTCTTTAATC